TGATGTTAGACATCTGCAGGAGGTGAAGGAGGCATTTGAGCGGAATTCTGTGTTGCGTTTCACTTACGAGCTGGAGAAGGAGGGGAAGCTGCCCTTTCTAGATGTAACAGTCATGGAAAGGAGCGGAGGTTTCCACACTGCAGTCTACACTAAGCAAACAAACATAGGAATGTGCCTCAATGCCAACAGTGACTGCCCAGACAGGTACAAGAGGAGTGTTGTCAACGCTTATGTCGACCGTGCTCTCAGCCACAGCTCAGGATGGAAGCAAGTCAATGAAGAACTCTGTAGGGTAGGGCAGGTCCTAGTCAACAACGGCTTCTCCAATGGTTTCGTTGAAGACATCATAAGAAGGAAGGTGAAATGCCATGCAACCTCTGAAGAAACAACTAACACAACACCTGTACCCCTATTAGACTATTTTACAGGAACTTTTTTTCCACAGCTCATAAAATGGAGGAAAGGGTCCTGAAAGATATTGTTAATAGGAACGTTATCCCTACAGACAAAAATCAGAAGATACAATTGATGATTTACTATAAAGCCAAAAAAATGCCAACCTACTCATGAGAAACTCTCCAGACACAAAGCAGAATGCTTTAAAAAGAGACCAATGTCATCTGTGCCTTCAAATGCCCACTTGGGGACTGTAAGCCTCAAAGAACTCAGTATATAGGCAACACAACAACATCTTTTTCCAGGCGATTAACAATGCATAAGCAACAAGGCTCCATTAACCCTTAAATGGCACATGGCTATATACTGATTGACACCCACAGGCACAAAAATAAAAAAAATAAAAAATATTTTTTTCTTCCTAACCCTTAACCCTCAAACCGCGCATATCATATATAAATGATATCTGTGACAAAACCGAAACCGCGCACATCATTTATATATGATTTCGTGTCTAGCGCTATAATTTAAACTCCCCGCCTGGGATAGGGGCAGTTATAGTACAGCCACGACCGATAGTTGCCAGATGCCACCTAGAAAAAAAATCCAGGCCAACATTCTTGGGTGTTACAGCGTCAGTATTGAGCAAGCCACCAAGGCTGGCGCACGCAGCATGAGCTCACAGCACCGCTGTTCAGCTTGTGACCACAGCATCGCCTACAAATACCATAATATATATGATACTGCTATTATTTAGCAGTGATAGTATTACTGAAGCCCACTGACTGTGATAAAACTGACCAGGATTCTGATAATAGCAGGATTGTGGTGATATTTAGCGCTGTGCTCCATGGAGGGAAGCGTAAGGCTGTGCGAGGGAGGGTTGTGGCGTCGTCTTCTGACTGTGTGTGGCCACCATTTATTGACTGCACTCACCATACCAGCTTAGTGGTTCGATATGGTGAACTCAAATGTAGATACTTATATATAACGTGTGTATAGAGTGTGATAACAGCGAGAGGAGTAGGTTGGGAGCCGCCATTTTGGTGAGGGAGGAGTGTCGTCTGCACGTCTTGGCATGGTGTTTACTGATGGCCACTATGGTCTTTGGGCACCATACCAGCTTATTTGTTCAGGTATGGTGAATAAAACAGATAGATACTTATATATAATGTGTATATAGCGTAATAACACCACAAACAATATTGTTGAAGGACAAATATTAGTGCGTCTGGCCTTGAGGGCGGCCGCCGATCAGCTGATTGTGTGAGTAGCTACGTCTTTGTGGCCTTTACTCACCATACAAGCTTAGATGTACAGTTATGGTGAACAAAACATGTAAATACGTATATATAACGTCTGTGTATAGTGAATAAATACAGAAAGAGTATTGTGGGAGGTGAATGAGGGTGAGTGAGGTGGTGTTGAGGGAGGGAGTGGCAGTGAGTGGCTCGCTGGTGTTTGGCGGTCACTCCTCGTTGCTTTTTGACTCACAAGACCAACTTAGTAGTTCGTTATGGTGTACAAAACATGCAAATACTTATATATAACCTGTGTATATAGTGTAACAACAGCAAAACTATTTGTTTATTGTTTTATGAACATAATAATTGAATCACTAATATGCACACCATAATTTTGAGTACAGCGATGGTTCACACATTTTATAATATAAATATACCACAATTCACTGTATGGAATAATATTACTGCAAAAAAACTAAGAAAAAATCAATCAGAGACATTGAAATAAATAGGTAATAATATATTTGTGGCAACTGCCGTCTGACAGCTCGGGCGGAGTAGACCTCATCTGGCGAAGGCTCTGCCAACGCCCCTTTTTTGCCACACTTCCCTACCCTATTGCGGCTAAAATATGCCACCTACGATTTTTTTGTTATTTTTTCCGTGATCAGGGAACAAAAATGAACACTTCTATAAGACGAAAGAATTTTTTGGAATTTTTTTTTTTTTTTGTTGCGCCTGTGGGTGTGAATTTCATTTGGGCCCCTTGCGGTTTGAGGGTTAATAATTCTAGCACGAATTTTCTCAATATTCCTTATGTTTCTTTTTAATGTCGGAACTTACCCTTCTAGAGCCCGGATGGGCACATGTATAAGTAGATGGGGTCGCCATGGGTTCTCCCCTAGGTGTCCTGTTTGCGAATTTCTACATGGGTACCATCGAACAGAAGGTCTTAGTTGACCGGAACTTGAAACCTGCCATATACTGCAGGTATGTTGACGACATTTTTACACAGGTACCTGATGTCAGACGTCTGCAGGAGCTGAAGGAGGCATTCAAGCGGAATTCTGCGTTGAGTTTCACTTACAAGATGGCGAAGGATGGGAAGCTGCCCTTTCTAGATGTAACAGTCATGGAAAGGAGCGGAGGTTTCCACACTGCACTCTACACTAAGGAAACAAACATAGGAATGTGCCTCAATGCCAACAGTGACTACCCAGACAGGTACAAGAAGAGTGTTGTCAACGCTTACGTCGACTGTGCTCTCAGCCACAGCTCAGGATGGAAGCAAGTCGATGAAGAACTCTGTAGGGTAAGGCAGGTCCTAGTCAACAATGGCTTCTCCAATGGTTTCATTGAAGACATCATAAGAAGAAAGGTGAAACGCCATGCAACCTCTAAAGAGTTCACTAACACAACACCTGTACCCCCCTATTAGACTATTTTACAGGAACTTTTCCACAGCTCATAAAACGGAGGAAAGGGTCCTGAAAGATATTGTTGGAGACGCTAAAGTGTTAAGAAAATGTGTGAAGTATGGGAAGAATTACAAAGTTTTGTTGAAAAAACCCACCCAATTAAAGCTGTAGCAGGCTGTTGCATTGACCTTTTAAATGACAATGTGATGTCTTACTACACACAAGTGTTAAAATGTAGGGAAAAACAAGTGTCTTTAGACAGATTCTAGGTAAGACAAGCAAGTCTTAGTGGTATGCAGGCAAAATGTGCCAGAGTGTGCACACCAGCGAAGTCCTCACTGCTTGATGTTATATTGGAAGAGGACTCCCCTTCCAAACAGTAACACATCTTCTCCTCCCTCCTCCTCACCATCTTCCATACGCCAACAGCAAGGTAAGTAATAACTTAAAATATAGTGTTGTAGGTTTATCTAGATGAATTAGGCATAAAATTTAGTTTGAAGTGAGGTTTTTGGGTAGTCAGGAACGGATTAATTCATTTCCCATTATTTCTTATGGGGAAATTAGCTTCGGAATAAAGTTTATTGTGTAATTGCATTCCAATTTAGTGCCACGCCGACGATTAAGCCAGCTGTTGACTGCTGCATGGATGATATGTGAACATGCTCTGATCAAGTCCAGACGGGTGGGAAAAAATTGGTTCATTCCTTTGTATTGCAAAATGTTTCATGTATAATATAATATTTCATTTCATTTCAAAATATTCAGTGATTGTTAATATTTTCTAAATAAAATTTTAGAGATGTGTTTTGTTTTACCCTGAACAGTGCAGATAATGTATTTTTAATGTTATGACACAGGCTGTGGCGACCAGGCCATACAATTGCGATCGAGCCTTGTCACTAACTGAGAGCTAGCCAAGACGAAATATTTTGAGCTCACCTTTTCTTTGCTAATGATAGAATATACATTTGCATTGACTAATATGTAGCTTTTGTTGAAAAAAAAAAATAATATGATGTAATACTATAATAAAATTGGTAAATTGACTTACTTTTAATGAAGCTGAAGATTACCTCATCCTCTGCAGCGCTTGATTTATATTGTTTATATTGTATACAGGGTACATACAGTATGTACACTTATTTTCAGGCATTCACTTCACACAACAGTTAAGCTTATTACTAATTCACATGAGTTCTAATTCTAATTAACTATTGAAAATTATTTCTACTGTATATTTACACTGTACAGTATCTTTTTGTCAAGGCTTAATTAATCATTAACACTTACAATACTGTACTCTATCAACACTTTTTACACTAATTTATATTCCTTTCAATCATATTTTATATCGTTAGTGGACGACTTGTCACGACTTGTCGATGGGAATTCAGCATCAGCGGGAGCAACATGGCTTGTAGAGCATTTGTTGCTGGCGAATGCTCCATGATTTGTTGATGGGAATTCAGCATTGGCGGGTGCAGCATGGCTTGTAGAGCATTCGTTGCCGGCGGATGCTCCACGACTTGTCAATGGGCATTCAGCATCGGCGGGTGCTGCATGGCTTGTAGAACATTCGTTGCCGGCGGAGGCTGCGCGACTTGTTGATGGGAATTCTGCATTGGCGGGTGCAGCATGGCTTGTCGACAAAGATTTTTCACGAACCTTTGAAATCATGAATTTATCTATTTTTGCCCGAATCTGATTTTCTCTGGCTAACGTTCTGAGACATTGCTTAACCCTCAAACTGCGCATATCATATATAAATGATATCAGTGACAAAACCAAAACCGCGCACATCATTTATATATGATTTCGTGTCTAGCGCTATAATTTAAACGCCCCGCGTGGGGTAGGGGTAGTCAACGGCGAGCCTCAACTGACCATAAACAAACCCCGCCTGGGAAAAAAATCCAGCGTGGGTCCCCTTTGTGTACAGAGCTCAGTTACCCGGCGGACACCATGGCGAGTGCATCAAGTTCCGACGACCGACCCCGCTCAGCGAGACGTTCCTCGCGACCTCTGACCGAGGAGGAAATTACTCGTAATTTGTTCCCGGATGGTGATGAGTCTGATATAGACGACTCAGACTTTGATCATGACTACACACAGCCCTCAGAGGTGGATACGACCGACGACGAGTGTGAACATGCTGGCTCCACCAGGGCTAGGCCTAGCATCTCGCTCATGCCTCCTCACCTTCACTCGACCCCAATTTCTGCAAGACCACACAGTTCATGTGCTCCCTTGCAAGATATTGATGTTTTGCTCGACGATTCTGAAGGTGAATCATTTTCCGGTTTTAGTGATTTAGAATCAGAAAATAGTTTCGCTAGTGCCAGTGGAGGAGTGTGTGGTGTTGCCAAGCGACAATTTGTCACGTCAGCAGCATCTGGCCAAGCCATGCGGCACCGCATGGCACCACATGAACAAAGACCCTCAACATCGAGGAACTTTCCATCACCGTCCCTGTCCACCCCTACTGTTCCTAGACCTGCTTCAGCTCCTGGTCCACGGTTTCCTCGCCGTGGTGCCGCTATTGGCTCTCAAAAGACACCCGGTGTTTTTGTGTGGAGTGATGGAACAGATTTTGTTCCACAAATTCCTGTTTTTGATAATTCGGATGTTGGAATTACAAGCTCTGTTGGAATAAAAATGCTCTACAAGCCTGATAAAGTCGCAGATATGTGTGAAATGAACTATTTTACTGCATATTTTGATGAGCCGCTAATGGAACATCTTGTTCATGAGACGAACAAATATGCGAGTGATCTCATTGATGATGAGGAGTTATCCGATTATTCACGTTTGCAGCGATGGAAAGATACGACTGTAGGTGAAATGTATGTGTTTTTGGCACTGTGTATGTTGATGAAACATTGTGTCAAACACGTAATCGACCATTATTGGAGCAAAGACCATACTGTTCCAACACCAATGTTCGGCAAATATGTCTCAAGACCGATTTGCGATAATCCTCAGGTGTCTTCACTTCGCAAATGATGAAGACAGGAATGAGGATGATAGGCTTTGGAAGGTAAGGCACGTCCTGAATGAACTTATCGGAAAGTATAAGGATTTCTATGTACCAGCTCAGAAGCTTGTGATTTACGAATCCCTTGTGCTTTTCAAAGGACGTCTTGCCTTCAAGCAGTATATTCCCTCCAAACGCCACCGATCTGGATTGAAATTCTTTGTACTCTGTGACTGTGAAACAGGAATTGTGTTACATATGATAATGTATACGGGTACAAATGTAGACATTCCTGCTAATGACCATCATGGCTTCTCAGGTAGTGTTGTGAAGTCACTGCTTGCATCATATCTGAACAAGGGCCACATATTATACACAGATAACTATTATACCAGTCCCTTGTTAACTAGGTTCTTGCTTGATAATAGAACTGGAGTGTGTGGCACAGTGAAGGCAAAACGAAGGGAAATGCAAATGTTTCCAGGTGCTATGCAGGTTGGTGATTGCGAGCTCAAAAAAAACAGGTAGAATACTTTCAGTGCGGTGGAAAGACAGGCATGAAGTGAACATGTTGACCACCATTCATGCTGGACAGTGGCAAGGTGAACAGAACCACCAGAGAAATAATCTATAAGCCAGATTGTGTCTTGGACTATATCAACATGCGTTTGGTGGATAAATGTGATATGATGGTTGGGGGCAGTGGAGTGTGTACGGAAAACAGTGAAGTGGGACAAGAAAATGTTTTTCCACCTCGTTGACGTAACAATGCTGAACAGTTACAATATGTATCTTGTCAAAACAGGTGGTAAACGTAATTTCCGTCCATTCAATTTTACTGTAGTAACACAATAACTACAGAAGTTTGGCAAAGTAATTCCTGGTATACAGAGGCCCATTCTGAACCCGGTATTGCACCATGCTCCAACACCCAGGCTCGCTTACAGGGATGCCTTTTTGACACACAATCACAGGTTTTTACCACCAACTGGAAAGCGTGCAGTAGGCCAGCGTGCGTGTGTAGTATGCTGTTCAACAACCAAGAGGGAACAGAAAAGAAAAACGGTGATGACTTGGTGCACAGTGTGTCAAGTCGCTCTGTGCCATGTCCGATGTTTCAACGAGTATCACAGTCTTGATGACTTCTAAATGTCCAAGACTGGTGCCAAAACATGTAAATATAGAATAAGTGAGTGTATATAGTGGAAATAAATAATAAGAAATTGTATATTTTATTGTGAAATAAGACTTTTTGTGCAAATACTTGTGACACTAATATGTGGATATAATATACATTGACAACAGTTTTATGTTTATAAACCATCTTGTGAGAACATATTGAACCACACCAGTGAAAAAAATGGGTGTAAAATACGCCATAGATACTGTAAATAATAACGCGAAAATAAATTCGCGGCAACTCGCGCTCCTCCTCAGTCGCGCCTGACTCACCCCGGCGCACAGTAGTCCAGTGAAGATCAGGCGTGACGTCATCAACGATCTTCTCGGCTCATTTACGTCCACGGTAAGTGCAATTAAATTTTTTTATTATTTTTCCCATGCTCAGGGAACACAAATAAAGATTAACCCTCAAACCGCGCATATCATATATAAATGATATCTGTGACAAAACCGAAACCGCGCACATCATTTATATATGATTTCGTGTCTAGCGCTATAATTTAAACTCCCCGCCTGGGATAGGGGCAGTTATAGTACAGCCACGACCGATAGTTGCCAGATGCCACCTAGAAAAAAAATCCAGGCCAACATTCTTGGGTGTTACAGCGTCAGTATTGAGCAAGCCACCAAGGCTGGCGCACGCAGCATGAGCTCACAGCACCGCTGTTCAGCTTGTGACCACAGCATCGCCTACAAATACCATAATATATATGATACTGCTATTATTTAGCAGTGATAGTATTACTGAAGCCCACTGACTGTGATAAAACTGACCAGGATTCTGATAATAGCAGGATTGTGGTGATATTTAGCGCTATGCTCCATGGAGGGAGGCGTAAGGCTGTGCGAGGGAGGGTTGTGGCGTCGTCTTCTGACTGCGTGTGGCCACCATTTATTGACTGCACTCACCATACCAGCTTAGTGGTTCGATATGGTGAACACAAATGTAGATACTTATATATAACGTGTGTATAGAGTGTGATAACAGCGAGAGGAGTAGGTTGGGAGCCGCCATTTTGGTGAGGGAGGAGCGTCGTCTGCACGTCTTGGCATGGTGTTTACTGATGGCCACTATGGTCTTTGGGCACCATACCAGCTTATTTGTTCAGGTATGGTGAATAAAACAGATAGATACTTATATATAATGTGTATATAGCGTAATAGCACCACAAACAATATTGTTGAAGGACAAATATTAGTGCGTCTGGCCTTGAGGGCGGCCGCCGATCAGCTGATTGTGTGAGTAGCTACGTCTTTGTGGCCTTTACTCACCATACAAGCTTAGATGTACAGTTATGGTGAACAAAACATGTAAATACGTATATATAACATCTGTGTATAGTGAATAAATACAGAAAGAGTATTGTAGGAGGTGAATGAGGGTGAGTGAGGTGGTGTTGAGGGAGGGAGTGGCAGTGAGTGGCTCGCTGGTGTTTGGTAGTCACTCCGTGTTGCTTTTTGACTCAAAAGACCAACTTAGTAGTTCGTTATGGTGTACAAAACATGCAAATACTTATATATAACCTGTGTATATAGTGTAACAACAGCAATTTTATTTGTTTATTGTTTTATGAACATAATAATTAAATCACTAATATGCACACCATAATTTTGAGTACAGCGATGGTTCACACATTTTATAATATAAATATACCACAATTCACTGTATGGAATAATATTACTGCAAAAAAACTAAGAAAAAATCAATCAGAGACATTGAAATAATTAGGTAATAATATATTTGTGGCAACTGCCGTCTGACAGCTCGGGCGGAGTAGACCTCATCTAGCAAAGGCTCTGCCAACGCCCCCTTTTTTGCCACACTTCCCTACCCTATTGCGGCTAAAATATGCCACCTACGATTTTTTTGTTATTTTTTCCGTGATCAGGGAACAAAAATGAACACTTCTATAAGACGAAAGAATTTTTTGGAATTTTTTTTTTGTTGCGCCTGTGGGTGTGAATTCCATTTGGGCCCCTAGCGGTTTGAGGGTTAAAAAGAAAAAAAAAATTTGATTTTGTTTTTTTTGTTGCGCCTGTGGGTGTTAATTCTATTTGGACCCCTAGCGGTTTGAGGGTTAATGGCTGTAAAGTGTACATAAAAATTCCAAGAACCTCATGTTTACTTTTTCTTGAATATTCAATGAGTTCCTCAATTTGTTCCAATCTTTTCTGATATCCGACACCTCTAGGCAGAGCCTTACCAACATCGTCCGAGTCATCAGAGTCATTTCCGAGAACACTTTGCACAATCTGTTCTTCAGTTAACAATTCATAACCAGAATCGTAATCATTTTCTAACCATTCATTGATATCATTCACTTGTACACCCTGACCAGCTTCGAGCAACATTGTTCAGATCGTTTCTTCAAACCCTTCAAAATCATTGGATTCATTTTCAAAACCTTCAAATTCACTATCAGATGGTGCTGCGTCACATCTAGGCCTCTCTGTTAACAGTTTCTTCCATGAATTTGTTAGTGTGGTTTCTTTCACTTTATTCCAAAGCCTAGCCCAGTGGAATATTGCTTCCCTGATTGTGTACTTTTTTAGATTTTCTAGTGTTCTTTGAGCCCTTGTATCCTTTCCTGTCAATTCATCTTCCTCGCTAGGTAAAACAACTGAAACATCTTCAAGCATTGCTGTTTGGTACATACGTTAAGCAGCAAGGATAACACCTTGGTCCATGGGCTAGATCAAGGATATTGTGTTTGGTGGAAGTGCCATGCATTTTATTCTGCTATCCCTTGAAATTAACTTGCTAATGGGATGAGCAGGGGCATTATCTAGCAGCAACAATGCCTTAACCTCACTGGCCTTTATTCCACATTTGTTGATCTGGAATTCTCTAACTTCTTTGCAAAAGTGGTATTCAAACCAGTCCGTAAATATTGTTTGATTAAACCATGATTTCTTAGAACTGTAATATATTACGGGTAGTGCCTGCACTATATTTTTTGAGGCTCGAGGATTTTTAGACTTGCCTACCACGGCACATTTTGTCCTCTGAGAGGCATCAGCATTAGCACAGAGTAAGACTGAGAGTCGTTCCTTACTTATCTTTCGTCCAGGAATATTTTCCTGCATCCTACTGGTTTAGGATTTACTTGGTACAGCTCACCACATAAACCCAGTCTCGTCAGCATTATATACTTGACATTTGCTTAAATTATTACTGACAATGTACTCGTTTAATTTAGCCTTGAATGAATCAACTTTAGTGGGATCAGCACTTGACACCTCACCAGAAATTTTTTTGGTGTTTGAAATGTTATGCCGAGCCTTAAATCTTCCAACCCATCCATCACTTGCATTGAAATCCTTTATACCTAATTGAATGGCAAGTTTACTTGCTGCAACTTTAAGCTCTTCAAATCGTATTGCCATGCCAATTGTGTGGTGCTGAATAAACCACTTATACACTGCAGCATCCAATTGTGGATACTGACCAGACTTTACTGTTTTTCTCGAACATGCAGCACCAGAAGTAGCACACTCTTCAGAATTGCATTTAAATACATGGATGGCGATATACTAAAGAAATTGTTCATGACTTTTGTTAGGCCAAAGCTAGAATATGCAGCTGTTGTGTGGTGCCCATATCTTAAGAAGCACATCAACAAACTGGAAAAGGTGCAAAGACATGCTACTAAGTGGCTCCCAGAACTGAAGGGCAAGAGCTATGAGGAGAGGTTAGAAGCATTAAATATGCCAAAACTAGAAGACAGAAGAAAAAGAGGTGATATACCTGGAATTTCAAGAACAAGAGGTCAACTCTGTTGTGCTCACATATTTTAATAGAGTATCCTTCTGTTTCTTGATGTCACTTACTGTACTTTTCCTGATG